TTATTTATTTATTTATTGATTGATTGATTTATCAATCAATCTATCTATCTCTCAATCACTCTCTGTCGCACATTTTTCTCTATCTTTCTCTCTATCTTAACTCCCAAAAAAGAATAGTTATAGTTAGGGTTATGAATAGGGATATGGGATATCCGTACAGTTGGATGTCCGTAAAGAAGCAAAGGTGTCATCTGGGGGGGGGGCATATCTGAGGGATTACGTTTTGCCGGTAGGGGGTTATTTACAGGAGCTTCTATGGTTTGCAGGGTAGGGGGTGTCAAGTACCGACTTCCTACGTTTTACGGAGAGGGGTTCCGTACAGAAGGTCCTACATTATGCAGGGTAGGGGTGCCAAGTACAGACTTTCCTATGTTTTACGGAGAGGAGTCCCGTAGCAGAGTTCCTGCATTTTGCGGAGGACGGGGCCACGTAACTTAGTTTCTATGTTCGACATGGTCACGTACCTGAGGTCGTTTGAAGGGCAGACCGCAGCCCGCGACTAGACCGTCCATGATCTCCTGCTCCGTAGTGAAGTTACGTAGCACCTGCTGGCAAGCCTGCCTGCACTGCTCGCTGTGTGACTTCTCGCAGCAGTGGATGCCTGCAAGAGACGAAACGAGTGAGAAACAATAGCCAAGTAAGAAACAATAGGCACTGCGTTGAATTGCACTAATTAACAGCAATAGTGTTGCGGCAAGTGAAACGACAGGTATTGAAGTGAAGGAAAAGTAAAGATGGTCAGTTGTCAGTAAAAGAGTCAAGTAACGGATACGGTTTGTACACCACGCCTGAACAATCGCGTTAAAGCCAGTGGATATTGAATTGAAAGCGGATCACTTTGGGTAAACTACTGGTAAACACCGTTAAAAATAAACTGATAAACTTATCTAATACCACTGTCTCTAATGCCCACATCTGATCGCATTGTTAACGTCAGACTTCACTGCCTACAATTCTACCTCAGGAGTAAAAATATATATATAAATATTGTTTCATCGGTCATCCTGAATCCCAGTGAAATGAAGCGAGTCTGAAATAACAGTCATGTCGTTGAATTGCATGAAATAACAGCAATGGAGTTGAAACGAGTAAAGCAACAGGCACCGTGTCGAAGGGCACCGTTTAAACATGTCTAGCTAGGGGTGACCACGAATCCCCGTGAAAACGCAGCTGCCAACGCGCACAGCGGTCACTCTCCTTCACACAGCGGTCACTCCCCTCCACACAGCGGTCACTCTCCTCCACACAGCGGTCACGCTCCTCCACACAGCGGTCACTCTCCTCCACACAGCGGTCACTCTCCTCCACACAGCGGTCACTCTCCCCCACACAGCGGTCACTTACTTTCCATCGGGTTCGAGGCGGGTGTCGTCTTTGAGTAGTTCTCGACGCACTTGAGCACGCGCTTGTTATGATGGTGCAAGCAGTGCTCGTTGATCGCCTTGCGGTCGGCGGGCGTCGGCGTCGTGTCGCGGTCGAAGATGGCCGAACACGCGTCGCGACACTCGTCCGTGCTGGCGTGCGAGCAGCACTTATGTCCGTCTACACGGCGATGTAGAGAAATAGTACGTATAGACGGAGGGGTACGCATGGATGGCAGAACAGTACGGTGAGGGATGAATTAACATGAATATGTGGGGGAATAGCACGGGGAGGGAGAGGTAGCATCAAGAAACCATTATTTGCCACACAGATGGTGGAGATCAGACGATGGTGAAATGGTGAGATTGTGGAAGTACCATATATCCCGTCTCACAATTGCGGCAAGGTGGTACTGCGGTATGTTGACACAGATACAAATAAGAAATAACCCATCTCTTGCAGATCGTTGACACAGACGCTACAAGTCGAGATGAAAGAACTTTTAACGCATTTACTTATGGAACCGAATATTTTCCAACTACTGCTGGCGTGACATCAAAGATACTGACGTCCTATGCGTCTCAACTTCTCAATGTGAGAAAACACGGACTTGATGATGAAGCAAGCAGCTTGTGACTACAGTGACTACAATGTATACACACCTTCTCGCCTGCCGAGGCAGTTGTAGAAGTTGGGTTCATGGCTTTGTCTGCAGTGCCCGTGCAAATCGCTTCTGGACAGGGACTGGAGCAAAAACACAGACACTGTGAATACTGACGAAATAGTTATAGAGAACAACTCTCTGCTGCGCAGTATTTTTATACACCTTCCGATTATTTTATCATTTAATAAATATTTTAAATAACATTTTTATTTATTTATTTTATTATTTTGCCTAGCGGCGTTTTCGCGCAATTTTTCTAACGCCCGTTTTCTTCCGGTGGCTACAGACGCTACGCGCGCCGCCAGATGTCTCCACCTCGCGCGCAACAGTTTACGGAGCTGTGAGATGTGAGCACGCCCCATTAAGCTCGACAAATTGAAACTAGTGCGGCTATGAAATGAGATAGGCCTTAGCCACTCCCTGTCTCATATTAATGCCAGCCAGCACCTAGTCCTGGGGCGGGATATCTCGGACCAACTTAAATAGCTGTACAGATACTTATCAATGGCTGCAAGGGAAATGCCAGAGCTGAGTGGTAATCGTGACTAACCGAAAATAATAGCGTTTATCTGTGGAATATATGAATGCGTGTGCGTGTGTTGAGTAAATGTGTAAATAAATAAATTAGCAGATAAATAAACATATAGACAATTAGACATACAAGGGCAGAAACGGAGAGAAGGAGAGGTAGAGACAATGGGGGGGGGGGAAATATAGAGAGATCGAACAGAACAATATTAATTACAGTTGCTTAAGTGTGGGAACGTTGTAGACACGGGAGTTAAGTAATATGTTTATGTCTGTGCACACATTTTTCGATGCCGGTAATAATAATAGTACGTAATAATAACCCCGTGTATGACGCCAAAAACACGCGCGGAATAACCGAAGCGCAACCGGTCGCAGCCAAGCACCCAAGTATGACCTTATGAGACACTTGATAAGCGCGCGTAATGTTACCAGATTCGCCATAAAGCCTTGCCAACGGCCGCTGTCGGATTACGTGAATCCTTCCGCAGCGAAGCAAGCATCCGCGGATCATCCGTGGATGGTGACATTTCCTCTCGCGCTTTCACAGGAGCGTGGGGGAGGAAGGGGGAGGGGAGGTGGAAGAAGAAGGGGGAAAGGAAGTAAATGTAGGCGTAAAAGGAGGAGGAGAAGGGGAAAAAGGGGAAGAGGAGGTAGAAGGTGGGAAAAGGGAGTATGACGAGGTGGAAAATGAGGAGGAGGGGGAAGAGGAGGAGGAGGAGGAGGAGGGAGAGGGAAAGGAGGCGAAGGATATTCATATATACATATACGCATATATACATATACTCATATATACATTATACTAATATATTATACATATACTCATATATACTCATATATACATAATTATACTCATATATACATATACTCATATATACATATTACGGACCTACTCGCCGCGGTTGTCTCGACGGTGTTTCTTAAGTATTTTATATCAAAACGTACTCTGCGGTTTAGTCTGGCGTCCGTCTTACATACCGTACAATCTACATCGGATTAAAATGCGCTCGTCGTGTTTGTCTTTGCTCTTGCCTTTAATTAAGATTGTGCCGATGCTAATTATCGTTTGTTAATTGCTAAAGATAACGACGCGCTCGCGCTTTTCAATGGAGTACGCATGCAAACCCACGAGGGGTTAGGGAACTTCCTCTTCCGCTTCCGGTTCCCTGTAACTTTCGCGTTCATTTCCGTTTCAAATACAGGTATGCACTTTGTCAACCTCGGATGAATTACTTCCCTTCTTCACTATCTCGGCTGTATCGTGGTGTATAGGTTGATATACATCTGCGTCCAGACATTTTCTCGCCGGATACTGACCGAATTATAGCGATAAGGGAATATGACGATGATTTACCGCTCAACTCTTTGTTATACAGTACAATCTTCTGACAGAAGCACCGGAAGGCACACAGCAGTTGCAACATAATTTACAACATTCATAGGTGTTTTTCTAGGGTGGTGATTCCTTGAAATATCACGTCGTTTTTACATTTTAGCCATAACCTCTCATTTTAAAATGGGCGCATTTACATCACGGCAAAAAGCAGCGGAGAGTAGTCGCGGCGATGAGAGCTCGACAAAAAATGAAAGAAGCAGAGAAGGGAAGTCAGTAGAAAAAAATGATATGGAAGAAGAGGAAAAAATGATGAAGAGTAGGTGGGAGAAGAAAATGAAGAAGAAGACAAAGAAGAAAAGAAGAAGAAGAGAAAAAAGAAAAAGAATACGGCGATAATGGAGATGAGTATGATGATGATGATGATGACGACGACGACGACGACGACGATGACGACGACGATGACGACGACGACGACGCCGACCACGACGATAACAACAACAATGACGACAACGATAATAACGATGACGACGCGGTGACGATGATCAACCATAAGAAGAAGGAGAAGAAGAAGAAGAAGAAGAAGAAGAAGAAGAAGAAGAAGAAGAAGAAGAAGAAGAAGAAGAAGAAAAGAAAGCACGAAAAGATGACACGAAAGAGCCACGTACCCGTATGCAGAGGTTGCGACACTTGGTTGTCACCGCTTTGCTGCAGCACTGTAGCTTCGCAGCGTCCAGACCTGTCGTGTCAATCGTCGACACGCGGTCGTTCTTGCGACTGTGACGGTTGTTGTCCTTCGGACCGGAGGCCGAGTTCCACAGAAAGCACTGCCACAGTGGGTCCGGGTCCTGTGCAACACGGAGAGTTCCGTCAGTAAAAGGGATTTACCGCGATCAGGTCGCTCGCTATCTGCTTGTTAGGATTCGTATATATATATA